TAAGGTACCCACTAGACCTGCCCCAGACGTACCTATGCGTCCAGCTCCGCCACCGCCCACTTCCGCGCCTTCTGTAAAGCCACAAAGACCTAATAGCACGCCCTTGACAAATGTAATACTGCCAGAACCCGAGAAGAAGTTGGAAAAGGGCAGCACGCTTAACCGAATCGCGTCGATATTGCGTCCTGGCTCCGGCATTATGAGAAGCAATTCCCAAAGTTCATCGAGGGATGACAAGAACACGAATTCTCTACCGAGGAACCAGCATCACAAGGTCAACAAGGTTATCGACAAAGAGATCCTAAGGAACCTTGAAATCTCCAATCCGATACCACAGACAGAGATCGAGATCGCGACACCAGTAATCCCAGTGATATCAACGACCGAAGTCGAGAAGAGAAACGTGGTCCTACGCGCTCAATCAATGAGAGACAGCAAAGTTACGTCAAAACCATTCGTCCAAACATTCGGTTCGATGCGTCAGACGACACCTGTCAAGAGGCCCACCAGTATACCTGCCAGCACGAGGCCTACGTCACCACCTCCGGGCCCACCGAACATCACACAGACGGAAAAAGCTGCCGAGAATGCGATAAAGATTCCAGGATTGCCGGGTTATCAGAATCCACCGGTGAAAACTGTTCAGAAACCAGTAGAGAACACTTACGATGACTGCATGAATCTAATTACAGAATCGTCCCTGACGAAGATCACGGAGGAATCGGCCATGAACGACAATATCTACGCAGTGATAGAGGAACCCGTGCCGGAGAAGAACAGGAAGAACATAGAATTGGAGGCAACGCCGGTTGACAACGAGTATAAACTGCCGAAGCGTATCGATACCATACACGGTGGCCCGAATAGTCTGGAATCGATGGGTTTACTGTCAGAGATTGTATCAGAGATATCGAATCGTAATTTCGATTCCATATATTCCACTTCGACGTTAACTAGGAAGAAGAAAGAGGATAATGGGGAAGATGCAACGAAAAATTTGGAAAATATGGGATCCAATAACTCTCTGGGTGGCTACATGAATTCGAACCACTACAAGATACCCGGTGGAATTTATTCAAACTCAACGTCTAGTAAATTTAATTCTTCGAGTTCCACCACCAGTTCCGGCTATCTTCAGCCATCCATGATAAACGTTCCACAAGTAGAGAAGAAAGAAGCGAGCAAAAATATTTCGGATGCAAATGACAACTTAAAATCGGTCGATAATAGTAATCTAAACACTCTTAAATCTAATAATCCTAATATAAACGACGAGTTGTCCAAGGAGCTTGGCATGAAGCCACCTGAGAATTCTATAGGATATAAACCATTTACTTCAACGAAAACTCGACCATCTCATTTGATACATATCAAGAAGGACGACCAAACTGAGAACAAGGTTCCGGCTAAACCGCCATTGAGTAGGACTAAAACGCCTCCGAATGTCGCGAAAAGCCCGACTTCCAAAGATATACTCGAGTCGAGCGTAAAACTCGCGAGACAAAGTTCAGATAATACATTAAAATCCTTAAAATCCTCGAAAGTTTCCGACACAAGTTCGACAATGGTAAAACAGAGCTCGGATGCGAGTCCAATTGCGAGACAAACACAAGTAAACGCGAGCAAGTCGAGTAGCGATTTAGATAAAGAAGAATCACACACAACCGTATCTGTCAAAAATGTGCCTTGTAGTCCTAAGGATAATCTGGGAAAGTTCAATAGCCCGGATCTGGTTTCGAGTTGCTCGAATTCTAATCAGGGTGGAACAAAATCACCGGATGTTGTGGGTAGCAATCCCAAGTTCAATCTCTCGCTTAAAACTGTTCAAAAGACTCCCACGCTGCCGAAGAATGGTCAGAAAACGCCCACAACGCCGTTGAAACCACTCAACATTACATCCAAAACAACCAGTCTCTCGGAAAAGAAGAAGTCTCCGACTGGCAACGCAAGTGTGGTTAAATCGCTATCGCCGTCTGTCAAAGACGCAAATAATAGCGGTACTAAGCCATCGCATTTGACATCGAAGATGTTCGCTAAAACAGAAATCAAGAACGGGGATGGAGGTACAGCAGCAAGGACGAATCCATTACAAAGAGTGGCGAGCGGTAAATCTAATGTGGCATCGCTCCAGCAAAAGTTCGAGACTAATAAGAACAGTTCTGGTGTCGCGAGGACTATACCGAGTGCGAATAATAAAAAACCGATGGCACGAACGACGGAAGTTGGCGGCGGCGGATTGAGGAAATGAGCGATCACCCGGATGCGTGTGGCAGCTTGACGGGATTGAAAAAGCGTTAGAGGAAAATCTATACTTGAAACATTCTAGTCCGTCACATTGAATCGTTCTCGGTGGAGAATGCGTGGCATATTATAAACGTATATACGCGTTCATGATAAACGAGTACATCATAAGCATGCACGAGTATAAACGTAGATAATGCGCGAGGGCGATATATTTCTTCTTATTTAAGAAATCTTAAACGGAAGTTAAAAACATAGTACAAGGATCTTTTCCTCTAAGATCCATAAAACGCTAATTTTACAAGCAAATATATTTCTTGTCGGAATATTAAAGATAGATTGTATGCGGCTGCGTTGCATAAGAAACACAACATTAAAAATTGTAAATAGTGCCCACACTTAAAAATTCTCATATTTTTTGTAGAGACTATCCATTGCCGATGTTCAAGCGTACCTATATAAGCCAATAATTACTGTAATATTTATCTTAAGCGTTTTATAAGCGACATTGCGAGGCAAGCGACAGTTATTTTCAGAAACCATCGCTTGAAACTAGAATGGGCGTGTACGGAATTAATTGACCTCTGTGATATATGTATATGTATAAAGAAATATTATGCACAGAAACACTATTATGCCACATTGTTATGGCTAGCAGATTTTAGACGCGACCAAATTATTTTATATCATATTACATAAATCGTACATAAATCGACAAAAAACGCGCCGTTAAGTTTTCTAAAAAGCCATCGGAAATCACAGTCATATCCGACGTAGCTCCGTTAATAGGGGAAGAAGGTCTCTTTTCTTTCCAAAGATTAAATATTTATGAGAGATCAAGTTGCAAGATTGTACCTTCGAAATCCCATGGGAGTCAAAATGGAAATGCTATTAGTTAGGAGAGTCTAGGTATTAGCGCATGCTAGTAACATAACACTGCGAATCGAATTAAGGTGATATCGCCTCGACGGCAAAAGGCAAGGCCGCTAAAATATTTCGCCTCGATCATGCAACATCACGCAACCTTTATTGTCTCATTATCCCTTGCATAAATCAGAGGCTTGCTTCGTCTAGGACAGCTCTAGATGCAAAGACTAAAACTATTTATTTGACTGATACCCGTGTAAATATATGTTCGTAAGATGTAGGCATATAATAGAAGTTTTGTACGATGTATCTTCGCGCCAAGAATAAGTTACATTCGTTACATTCGTAAGTTACTCACGCGCATTATACGTACAATCGCGAGAAAGAGGAAAGCAGCTTCTTGAACGAGTTTAGCATTAAGCACGTTAAGGAAAGGTTTTATTGAACTGATAAAGTCTGTCGAATTACGTTTGTGCATTTATTGTTTCCTTTTTTCTTCTTCCACGCAGCGAATTCTCCTGTACGAATCCAGTCGATACTTTGATTCGTAGCGTTATCCATTTTGTAAGAGTTCCTACTTGCGGAGCGTCCAGAAATCATCCCACCAAAAAGTTTCAATAAAGAGGTTCAATAAAGCTTTTTGACCAATTACTATGCGTATTGTGCATTGCTTTCTCCGCTTGTTTCTTTACGTGCGAAATGTCGTGTGCGTTGCTTCGATACGAGGACAATCAGATGTTCATTTAGCGTACAGTGTACGAGGAGGAGGTTTGCTTCAGCAACTCCTGCTCGTTATTAATGAATAAGTATTATTCGTAAGAGTATTAAAAAAAAGAAAGTAAAAGAAATATTAAATATGAAACGTGTTAAAAAGAAAAAGATATTGGCCACCAGAATATTTATTTTTCAATTGTTGGAAATTTTCTTTACGCTGATTGGAAATTAAACTTTTAGATCTAGAAAAATAATCCTAACTCGGCGAAGAGAACTATTCAATAGTTACAAAATAAATACTCTGCAAAACACGGCCGTGGAATACTAATGCAACGAATGGTTGCACCAATTGCGACCGTACAATACAAATATTCGATGAATTGGCTCAAGTATATCGCGGTTTACGAAGTCACAACACTTCGTCTTACTTCGTCTAGTAAAAAGAACAACAGGCATCATTGCAATACATACTGTACATTCAGTACCAAAGATAAGTAGCATCCTATCTACAACACTGCTGAGATAAGCACTACAATAATTAATTAGCCGTCGATTTACGATAATTGTGTACATTAAAACTCTTAATGATGTTACAATAAAGTCTTTATTCCAAGTAAACATTTTCCTGAACCACCCTCTGCATTTCTGCATTGTGGCAGAAATTAATTGAATCGCTCACATGAAAGGAGAAATATACAAGAATTGATCAATTCGGCTAAACACAGAAAACCCAGGTAAAATATAGAATCATAATTAAGTCTTGATGATAGGACATCATGACGCCAATTGTCACTTAAAAATAAACTAAGACAAAACATAAGATCATGATGATGTCTCCGGGAAAAAATGGTTTTATAGTTACATAAATTTATATATAATTATATATAATTATATATGATTGTATATAAAACATTTTTTTCCGAATCCTTATAATTATATTATTATGACTTCCGTATTATACTTGTATGAGTCACAACATAAGCAAAACAGTAGGATGCTCCTAGCACTGTCAGGAATAGGCAGCCATACAGTTGATTTATACACTGGATACTTTTCATTTAGTGACACAAGTCGATACGTATATCATTCTATCTTTCTTTATATTCCAGGAGTAACGAAAACAGAATTACAATACTTGTGTTTTGTCACCAAATGGAAAGCAACCATTGATATTCGCTCTATTGTGCTATTTATAACTTACAGTAACTCAAGGAAAATACCAAGTTGAGAGAAAATCAAAACGATTTTATTTTGGCATCTCGAAAGTCAAAATGATCGTTTTTGGTTGTATAATTTGATTGTTTTTTTGACAATAAGAATCAAAATAAAATCATTCTGATTTTTTGATTTTATGTCTCTACTTGGATAGGAGTAACATTACATCAACATTATAATTTTCCACATCATACAAGAGTAATATAAAGCAATATAAAGAATCGCAAAGTTTCAAAATTCATATCTGTTTCGTTTTCTAACTCTTTCGAGTCATTTTCAGTTTCTCAGACTTTATTGTGTGAGGAATCAAGAAGCAGAAGGAAAGGCGTGCAAGAGTCATACAAAAGTACGAGCGCATGCATATATAAAGCGTGTGATAAATTACTCAACAAGACGTAACGAAATGACGTCATGACGCAACATAAGGCAATGACGTAAAGCATAACGTAATAAAGCGATCTGACGCAATGTGACGTAATAGTTGGCCGAGGATCCGTTACGTATACGCAAAAAAAAAAAAAAACAAACAAAAACGAAAATGCGACAACACAAGCGCTGATGGCGCGTATATCGATAATATCGATATCAATGCGATCAACTTCATCAAAATCTACGAGAAATATAAGTCAGCTGCCGAGTGGGATTAAGGAATGGAGATCATGATTCACGCGGCGAGTACTATCCCTTTGAATGAAGGGAAATCGTACATCGCGCGCTTCGTCTACGTTCGCGCTCGCGCGGACGAATTCAATGGACGCAAAGCGCGCGCACGCGTTTCCGTGAAAAAAAAATCTGTTTTTGGGGGGAGAGAAAAGAAAAGGGAGACGGGTGCCGACACTGCAAACAGCTAACTGCCGCCGATGGTGCGCGGGATGAGATGAGTAGGGTTGTGGTTACGAATCACTAATATCACTATGCGGATTACCGCTGTTTAATCGAAGCCGCGAATTATGACGCTGACTTTGAATCATACACAGTCGTGACGAGTCTCTATTTCGTAAGTATATTTTTCAAAAAAAATTCGGAGCGGGAGGAGGAGTAGGCCCGCAAAAACTTCGTGACACAACATTCATGATGGATACGGCGTCAAGTGTCGGGATTTGATTACCCGAATTAACTGACTAACCTAGAAATTGTATCCTCCCTAACCGAATTGAGTCCGATTTATTTACTTCGTGCTGTGTTTATGCGGTGAATGAACGGATGAAGCATCGTATACCGTAATCATGAAAATTCATCCGTTTGACCGCGATCAAAGCCGCGGCTTTCTAGGCCACTTTATGAATTACAGAAAATCCTACATTGATTGCTCATACCTGTTGACATGGTGAAATTGGCATATTCACCACTCTCCAAGCTCGTGTCCACAGACATAATGTCCAATGTATGCCCAAACAATATGATAAAACCTACTTTATCTGAAGTGAGTTGTATTACTTGACTATTATGCAATTGAAAAAATAATGATTGCTATGTCAGATAATAATGCTTGTAGCAAAAAGTAATTGTTTAATTATTGTATATATATGTGTGTGTGTGTGTGTGTGTGTGTGTGTGTGTGTGTGTGTGTGTTATGTGTATATATATATATTACACAAAAGTTTACAACACTAATTGAGACTCGTATGGACTGTCGTTTGCAGGTGTTACAATCAGACTCTGTGAAACGGTTATTTAATCAACCGGATCTTATCATTAAGACGATCCCTTCATCACTCGAGTCTGGCAATGAATTTTGGCATAAAAGGAATGGTATGAATTCAATATCAAACCATACAACAGCATCTGAAATATCAATATTCCCTGTTGGGACAGCAGACGAAGAAAAGGAAGATGCCAATCTTCTACCTTCAAAAATAAAGCATAAAAAGTCGGAAATTGCTTTGTTACCTATTAAGAAGAAATCATGTGGTCATTATCAATCATGCGAAAATATTATTTGTGACGTGACAGTACAGCAGTACGTGGATAAAGATTGTGTGTCACCTATGTTAGCATTAAGCATAGAAGAAAATGAGATAAATGCGCCGGTTGAAAAACACTGTAGGAATAAATATTGTGATGCATTAAGCATTGATCATAATCGTTGTCGTCGGGCATTAATAAAGTTATATAAATGTGACAGTTCACACATGTGCGATATTTGTGGAAGAACATTTAAGAAATGGATATCTCGGATACATCACAGAAATTGTAAGAGAAAGAAAGTGTACATTCATAATGATGTAGACAGATTGCATTTACTGAAGGAGCGGATGCGCATTCGAGAGTTGCAGATTTTAGAAATTGCGAAGATGAAGAAACGCGATTATTCGGATCCTAACAAAGTGATGGAGATACTGTGGAAAAATGAAGAGCTGATAATTATTCCGCAAAAAGCATCTAGTCAACCAAGTGTCAGCATGACTTTGGTATCTAACACTCAATTGACCAGCACTAATGCTCAACCTATTATAAATAATTCGCAAATAACTAAATCTGCGAATACCTTTGGAAGCGCGTCTGTCACGGTTTCATCACAGAACACCGTAATTTTTCCCAACAACACGTTACGTTCAGAAAGCAATGTAAAATCAATAAGTCAAGTAAGATTTCCAAATTTACAACAAAATTCCTACTCGGAATCTACTTCCGTTACAACTAAAGCTCAAACTCAAGTTCCAGTTTCAACTTCAACTCCAGTTCTAACTCTAGCTTTAGTTCCAACTTCAACATCGTCTACAGTTCCAACTTCAACTTCAGTTCCAACTCTAGCCATAACTCTAGCTCCAAATTCAGGTTCAGCTTCAGCTTCAACTTTAGTTCCGTTAACTCTAACTATAGCTCCAAGTTTAGCTCCATCGCCGATTTCAGTTCCAGCTATAAGTCAAATTTCGGCTCCCAATGTTATTACCACTTCTACATCTACTTCGATTGTACCTCCGAACAAATCATGTATTCAACTCGCAGTTTCACCTCAAACTACTACTGTTCAGTCGATAAACAACTTAAGTGTATCACCATCACATATAATAAACACCACGGCAATTCAGCCTAAAACGTTCCTCACGCCGATACGCGTGGTACCTATAGCCAATTTGATAAGTCCACCGTCGTTGTTACATCGCACCCAAGGCATTCCTAAGTTTTGCATTGTTGCAGAAAAAACCGCTCCGGTGACCACTTCGAATTCACCGTCTGTTCAACCTACTGTTGCAGCTGTTGTCAGTACCGCCACTGTAAATACTCCAAAGTCTCTGACGCACGTTCCAATACCAAAAATACATAAATCAAAATTAAAGAAAAAAAAGAAGAGTTTTTTCTGTGACTATTGCTCGAAATATATCACTACTGATTGGTATTTCAAGGTGCATATCGCAAAGCACAAAGGTCAGAAACTTTTCTTCTGTAATTTTTGTGATGAATCTTTCAGTAACAATTATGATATGAAAAAACACATAACTAATCAACACACCGATCAGAAAGAACTTGCATGTGACAAGTGCAATTATACTTGCACATCACTTGCTGCCTTCAAAAGCCACATCCAAACACATGCGATAAGTAGTATACTTAATAAAGTAGATTCGAAAAAGCAAAAAAAATCGGAACTTTTGAAAAAATTGGAAAATAAAGTAAACCATAAGTTAATTCACAATTCATACGAAAGGAAAATAAAAAGAATAAAATGTGATACATCTAATAGTCAGAAACAGCAGCATAATAAAGAGAAGCATAATAATAAAAATTTATCGGCGATTAACAGAGACAGCAATGCAAAGACAAAAGGGTTTAATCCGTTTGTTTCCGTGAAAAAAATTGAACCTGAAAATTTCAAGCAAGAATCTTCTATTACATCGAGATGAAGCATATAATCTATTTAATTTTGAGATATAAATATATTTCGCCAAATATAATTTATTACAAAGAGTTTGTGTGGAAGGAAAATGTAGGAAGAGCAATCAAGGAATTATCTTATTGTGCAATCAAAAATGTTAAATATAAAGTATTAAGACGTATCTTGTATAGCACATGAGTGAAGCTTACTTGAACAAAATAATTTAAAGTTCTTTTGTGGAAATATCGATTGGTGCTTTTGAATTCGTTGTGTAGCCTAATGATATAAAATGTATATAAAGCTCATTAATGCAAATTTTTCTAGATTTACACTTTCAACTACTGTGTAAATAAAAACCGCGACGAATTTGAATTCCCCATATTCTTTTCGCGAATGTAATATTTTAAATTTTACTTTTATGGGATAATTTAGTGCAATTATTTTAATAAGATTAATAATATATCGACCGTTATAATTATCATTGCGATAAACACTAATAACTTTTCTTTACATTCCTGTATTAAATACAAAATATAAATTACATATCTATATACATATATAATTATAATATATGTGTATATAGATTTAATATGTTTTATATATATATATCACATAAAATCTATACAAATATAATTTGTATTTTCGTCATGAAGAAGTTTAAAATGTCTATATAGTAAAAAAATTATGTATTTGTGTTGAAAATGATCCATTCACATTCTTGTTAATAATTTGTATTGAACTTTGTAACATATTCGAGTATTAATTTAACATAATGTGATTATGTTATTAAAGATTTTGTATGAAATTGATATTCAACGTTTCTTAATGTCAAAGTGACATAATTTATGAGTAAGATGAACAAGTAACATAATGTTTTAAATTCTAGAACGAATGAATGAAATACATATTAATTTAATATATCATAAATGCTAATTCTCTGAAAAAAATGCTTCCATAGTTTGTTTACAAACTGTGTTGATATTACTTTTTTGTATTAATTTTCTTACATAATATTTGTGTAATCTTTTAACATATTCATTTTGTGTTAAATTGACCCAAAAATTTGAGTGGATCGTTTGGAACGTGCAATTTATGTTAAATTTGGCATATTTTTTCCAACAGTGTAAAATGGATTATTAAAGCAATTTTTTAATAATTTATTACTATATGATTTTTGTATTAACTTTTAATAAAAATAATGTTCTGTTTTCTCTTGTGTTGAATAAATTTTATTGGATAATCGTAAATAATATTTAACAATTATAAGATAAAATTTACTTGACATTAGAGAAAATAACAGAATAATATTTTTAGCAAAGATTAATACAAAAATTATATAATTACAAAAAATTGCTTTGACGATTTATTTCAAGTATTTTAAGCTTTTTCACGATGTTTGTAAAATTAAAAAAATATTAAACAGTGGAATTATTTAAATTTTTAGAATAACAAAATTTTATTTATTATTTAAATACAGTCAAATATTTCATTCATAAATTTTAATTATTCTTTTTACACTATCCTATATTGAACGCCCTTTCAAAAAATGTTTTAATTTTAATATGTAACATTTGAAAAATTACGCAGATTTCTAATTTCGTAATTTCTTTAATTAACGTAACAATTTGTATAATTAATTTTTTATTTAAATAGGATCGCATTTAACTGTGATACATTTTTCCTCACGAAAATATTTTGTTTTTTCTGTATCATAAAATTATATTCATTTTATATTCGTTTATATATTCTACTCTAAATTATTATTTGATACATTTAATAATTATAAAATTAAAATGAGTATAGTTATATATTTTATTCTGCAAACTTGTAATTTCAAATAAAAGGTTTCTTAAGGATTTGTTTTCTATACAAAAATTTTGTCACATAATTACAAGATACAAATCGTAAACTTTGGTGTGTTAAAGCACCACATAGAATATAGAAAATACGAACTGACTGCTGCGATGTGAAACATTGCATGTATATGATACACGAAAAATGTACGTGTTTGTGTATGTAAGAAATATGTTAGTTTAATATAAAGTATGTAATGTGTATAAGATATGAGTAAAAGTGGTTACACATATATTTATAATATTTTGAAATAGCCTTAATATCAGCAGATTAAAAATTATCATTACATACCATACATATAAAGCCTACATTTTTTTCAATTATAAATTAATGAATTACAACAGTATGAAATACTTTTTGTTTTTATTTTGTTAGTTTCTTTTGCATTTAAAAAGATATATAAAAGACAGTCTAAGTTACGCGTTACATTTGTGATATAGATTTATGTACGAGTATTCATACTTTATTTTTTTTTCTTAAAAATAATGTTTACTAAATTATTCTTTTTGATGTGCTATATTTATAAAATATTCAAAAACAAGAAAATAACATATTTTTTAAATATTCAAAAACAAAAAAATAACATTTATTGAGTAAATCTTTCTCATATATATGCGTGCGTGCGTGCGTGCGTGTGTGTGTGTGTGCGTGTGTGTATGCGCGCGTGCGCGTATGTTTAGTGAAATCTTTTTTTATTTTATAGAACAATTTACTATAAGAGCAAAACAGTACAAAAAAATAACATGAAATATTTTAAATAATAAATTTAAGTTTGTACGTGAATTATGCATACATCATGAAATATTCGCTATTCAAGATCTGCTATGCTTTATCTTGTTGCTGAAATATAAAAGGACACATATAATTATCATACAATTGTCATAAAATATTTTATTACGAGAACACATCTATCACTTGTTGAGGATAAGTAATGTTCCTGAACACGAAAAATCAATGAAATATTAAGTGCCTTGTAAATCAAAAATTTCTTTTAATATAGTCACGCTTTTATTATAGACTTGTAGATAATCGTCTACAGAAATAAAATCTATTGAAGCATATTCCGCATTTGTTTTCTAGATTTTTCTTTAATATCAATTCTTTAAATATACGTTTGCTTACTGTGTAGATAACTTGAAACGCATGTCTGTTATCGTTATAATAGATGGTTTTTGAATAAATCTCAAGTTAGGAAATATATTAAATTTGTGTATTTTAATATAAGAACTTGTTTATAAAGATTATACTTTACAATTGTGAATTTAATGTAACAAAATGATGTACGAAATACCAGCGTTTTTAATCTGACGATATATAATAATTTTTTAGGTTTTGGTATATTGATATGATATCTATTTTATTCAAATAGAAATATTATTTTTCTAGGATACAAAAAATATAAATTATATCACACAAAAAACTATAACAATGTATTAGGTGTTGGAATTAATTCGTAGCGTTTTTTAATGAAAGAATGTTATTTATTTCACATGAGCATTAAAAAATACATTAATGAAAGTACTTCCCATCACTTGTAAAACGCTACGAATTAATTCCAACACCTAATAGTAGAAAATATAAATAATAAAAATATAAAAATATACGAAGAGGATGAAAAAATATGTTACATATTTTGTAAAGAATTAAATTAATTAATTATATTTGTGATGATATATTTGCTGTAATTACGTCAGGATCAATAAAATAAGTTTATTTATTTTCTCAATGTATTGACAAGTATAATAAAAATCAAATTATATAATTCGTGTATCTTCACTCTTACATTTGTAATAAAAAATTGTTAATAAAGTTCGTGTTTGTATATCAAGTGTAAGTCATTTTTTCTTCAAACCGTTCATGATAGGATGGATGGGGATGCTAAATAACTTCCCATAGCTTACTAGAGTCAAACAAAAGAGATTTGAATGATATTTCCTTGCAAAGACACAGAACATGTGTCATTCTGATAACCATATCTGATTAATATATGAAATATCCTCAATAAAAATGAAAGAGGCAGTATAAGGACGGCCGATCTCCTTTTCTTTTTATAATATATTATGGTCGAAAAAGATATAAATCGTCTTCGCCTTCTATCTCTCATTTTTATCGACTAATTTTACATACTTTGATTCCTAGAACTATAAACGATATTGCATATATTGGCACGAAATTTGATTAGGAAAATATTCCACTATAATAGAAACAAAGTATCCCAAACATGAATTTAATCCTAAGATAATCTGTGAATAAATTGTGACATTATTAAATTGTTATATTTTATCCTTCAGATTAAAAGCTAAACACAATAAATTTTAAAAACAAAACTCGATCTTCCAGAGTATAAATTAGGTACTAAAATATTTTGGTATCATAAAAATTGCAACTATAATAAAATTAGACAAAAGCTAAAGTCATATTAAAACGGTTTATTTTAAAATCAAGGTTCAATAGGGCTATAATGCCATTGAAGAATCATTTACAATACATAAAAAAATATTTAAATATTTGAATTATAAAAGAGGCCAATAATGCCAACATCTTGATTATATCTTAAAAAAAGTCGATTATTTATTTAAAAATATAATTATTTAAGATACAGATAAGATAGACATAAGTTCTAATAAAATATGTATTATATTCGATCCAAAGCTTCTAACATTATGACGCTGTTGCCACGAATTACCTACAAATATACAATTTATCTTGATAAATATTGATACTAAATAATAATACAAAAATATTCTATTTTATACATATAATCAGCTTTCATAAAAATAAATATAAAATCACAATAAAATTTACCACCATTCCTATATTATTTTTAGTACCGTCCTTGCATTCTTCTATACTTTCATCTATGACCATGTTCATAAATGGATCAAAACCTCTCAATATTCCAACAACACGCCGGCCACCATTCAACTTTACTGCAAGATATTTTGAGTAAAATTAAAATAAAGAATAAAATATTTATATTACTTTCTACATATACTAATACTTCTTGCATGCTTATAATAAAATTACAAAATAATTTTAATTGTACATGCTCGCAATTTCTTCTTACAAACATTTTGTTACAAAAATAAAGTTCATGTTTATTCTATAAAATACAAAAAAAATATTCAGAAAATATTTTTTTATGTGAGAAGTTATTTTTCACCAAAGAAACCTTTTAACATTTTACAAGTGTGACTACAACAAACTTAACCTTTCAGCAAGGCTTATTTTTCAAATATCTCAATCTTTCTTTTGGAGATGTAACTTTGACTTTACAGTATATATTTACATTGTTACTTACGGGATAATCTTTTATCCATATATCTAAAAAAAGTACAGAAATATTAACATGGAAATATAATGTAGTAAAACAAGTATGTGAAGAATAACAATACCGATAGCGAGATCGCATCGGCTTACGAAAAAAATATACTTTACTTCTTAAGCTCTGGCGGATGTGCTTTACTCATTTTCGGTTATAGTAACAACCTTCCAATACTTGAGTATACTGATAGATTCACAAAAATTGTGGAAAATTGTGCAATAACCGGCAATAACCTTGTTAATTACATTTACCGGTGATGCTAAACTATATGCCAAACTATGCCAGCCAGTAGATGTCACTGGGCGCGTTCAAGTCGACAAAGCGACTAGCCTGCTTGCCAAGCAAATGAATATGATTGGTTAGATTATTTATAGATCCAATCAATCACATTCAATTGTTCGGCGAGCAGGCTAGCAGCTTTGTCCGGTTTGCACGCGCTCATTATGGCCGTGGTCCGATTTATGTTGACAACGCTTATGAGCATAATTTGTCTTCGTTAATGTTCTTTAATATTTGATAAACAATAAGGATAAAATGATTTTAAGCGTTGTGAGCGTGAATCGAACCGCGGCCTATTTATGCCAACAGAGCAGTCGCTTTTTTACGCATGCGCATTTAATTATGACGTCACCACTGTATTAATATTGAATTTAATAGGTCTTATGGAGATCATATTTTAATTCCTATATTATATAAAATTTTTTGAAAAATTAAAAATTATAAAAAAATTATAGAAATTTTCAAAAGATTAAAGAAACGAAAGAAATATCAGTAAAAACAAAGAGAAATCACTACAAAGGATGTTTCACTTAAAGTTCATAATGCTCACGTGTATCATCTCATTTTTGTTTAATATTTAATAGACAAGAAGGATGAAATAATACTCGCGAATGTTAAAACTCATCCAATAAACCTGATATGTAAAATAATATAATAATATTATAATAATAATATAATAATATTGTTTCGTTACATTATTATTCTTTAATATAAATATATAAAATGACGTTATGAATAGGATTCCAAGTATGAATGCACAATAAACTACAATCTTTTCTAAATGTAGCACATATATTATTATTTTTAAATATTTTTCAAAATATTAATTTTTTTCTTAAATATTACAATATTTTGTATTGCAAAAATATGAGTTGATGAAAAACTGTATCATTTATTTTCTTAGCTTGGATTGGAATATTTTCATAGACAATATTCCAGTCAAAAGTAAGGAATGCCATAATTCTAGCAAAGGAAAAAATGACGTTGCTTATAAAGGTATCGAAAAACACAGAAGGCAATATCTTTGTCCATACGATTTATGGGATCGTAACTTTATTTCCTTTTCTACAACATTGGTACAACATGAAATGAGCGTGTCGCTCTTCGAGATAATTGTCGATGAAGCGTCTTTGCATTTTTTTATGTGTCACAATTGCGCGATCCCGAACATCACAACGCACGATATGTGTTCTCGTTTCGTCGGATACATCTTCGTTATCGTGCCGTGATACGAGACGCTATCAGTACAAAATACAAGTACGCATGTGTTTATAAAAGTACAACATCAACGTCACTTCGATCGCAAGAAACGATACTTCCCCTCATACATCTCAGAAATGATGGCCACACAGATAATGAACCCTCGACAGTTCTCGTTAATGAATGAAAAATAAAAGAACATTCAAGAGAAGAGGCTGACATCAAGATTGAGCTTAGAAAAATTCCAAAGAAAATCTTTTCTGGATTGACGATGAATGGATTTTTCACGCAATGTAAATAGAATTATGCTATACGAAAAAATGAAACATATGTCATTTAAGGGAGACTGTATTTCGATATTAAAAGCATTTCATTATCTTGAAAGGAATAAATATATAATTTCTTCTCAACGTTGTAAAAAAAAAATTGGTAACATTTAAACATTCCAAAAGACGTGTGAAATCGGGAAGATCTTTGTGGCGTTTCTTATTGTTTCTAATTGTTTCTTTGGTCTCTACATAATGTATTATATCACGGTGTGACATTTAGAATTGTAATATTTTATCGATATATCATATGCGTGTCCAACAACGTATACATCAGAGTTCAACAACGTACATGAAAGCGATAGAAATGAAGACTCCGTAATCCCCATCTTACATTTAAATCGCTAAATAGCGTTGTCCGCTCTTCTCTTTCTAAATCTTATTAATCAATAAGCTGAGAAACGGATACCGAAGCGAACGTTCGCTACATCGATTTAATTCGATTTAGTTCTTCAAAGGCGCGATTTTCAATTCACAATTAAAAATCATTTTGGAAGTATGTGAACATCATGAAGAAACACTATTATAATTCAACTAACGACATAAAGGAAGAACTTGACTACCGATTTTCTATTGTAGCGAAGCGCAAAGAAGCTCCGCGAATCTACAATACAAAGATACTAGACATCGATTCGAATTAATCGGCTAATTTCATGTGGAATGCCATGATATAAATGTCTCAATACACGCACTTCGAAAAATGACATATCGAGAGTTATTATATGTAACGTCTATAAAATTGTCGATGAAGGTATTCAACTGGACCCAGCATTCGACAACATTCTTCGCCATCGCAGCAATCTCTGAACTGTTCTCTCGTAAACGTTACGTGTTCTCTCGCATTAACTTTTTTTAACGATTGAAACATTAAGTACAAGATGCATACTTTTTTAACGAGGTTTCCAAAAACTTCGTTTACGCAACTCACTGTCTGTAGTGAGGAGTACATTTATATTAAACACGTGCAAAATTCTAAGATGGAACGGATTGGCACAGCGAGTCGTAAGAGAACGACTCGCGAATGTTTTTTGTCCGTAAGTATTGTTTTATACAGACACAACAACTTTGCTTAATTATTATTATAGTAAGTTTCTCGCTCGTCTGTATCCTGTACTCTCTAGGTGGATACCGGCTTATTTTCTGTAATATATAAATCTGTAAATATATAAAGAACGTATTCCGATATGTTCTCATGAAGAAATATATTTAAAATAATTCCCTTTTCTCAAGAAGTTTTCTCAAGTCTGCTTCAAGATATGTCTGCTCGCGTTGTTTGAAATCCCTCAAAATTTTAAAATGAGATAAATATATATTCAAGCGTTGAAGAGAGAGAGAGAGAGAGAGAGAGAGAGACCGAAGATGCTGAATACAAAAAGTGCAAACAACGCGAACGAACTTAATGACTCGTGTAAAATATGACACTTTTTGAGAGACTATTGCTATTGATTTATAAGTAGTTCATCCTTTAACAGAGTCCACGATCCCTTAATCCTTCGATTCTACGAATCGATTTCCTCTGGCAGGATTATCACCTTATATTACAATAAACAGTGTACATCTTAATTTGCATAGTTAAAAAAATTAAGTATAACACGCGCGAAGTAATCTTAGAGATAATTAGGATGTCAGTTGCACTTGAGACGCATGTCGATTGCGGCGGTAAGTACAATAATTAATGAATTTAACAGCGTAGCGTAACAAGAACAACCGATAAGGTACGTTAAATATCTAGAAATCTATACCGCGGAACACTCACGTTACATTTATGATATACGGTGTCATTACAGTATTTGCATCTCGTATAGAATTCTAATATCATCGAGAAAGACGGCACGATATGCCGATAATAAATAGGTGAAATCTTTGGTCGTATGTGAACGCACGAACGAAGACAATCAGAGGGACTTTCGTAGTGCGTTCAAAAATAATACTTTGGCAAAAGTAAGGAAGCTCTCGACTTTTGATTGGATTTAAAATAACAACAAGATGTAGGTGTAAAACTTGGACACCAATAAAGTGCGATTTGTCGAATTATACGCGAATATATATTTTGATTAACAGTCCACGAAGTAGCAAAAGACGTTTAAAAGAGGCTTAACATAACGTAGGACGTCTTTTAAATATCTTTATAATTTTTTTAGACATGTCACACAGAATTCTAGGCAATCCCTGGATTATTACATAGAGTGTATTAAGGACACGCAGCTTGCAGTTTCAAACATAACGTTTGATTCGCGTTTTCTTGCAAGTTGTTTTGCCGATTACGCTAGTGGAATGGTTATAGTATTCGGATTTTACAATAGTGTTCAATGGATCGGATTAATATACTGTCACGACGAAAATGTGCCAAATGCTTTACAATTCGTCGTTTATTCATTTTATTTTATCGACATAGCGTTTAACCCTTTTGATACCAAAGTTTAGAAAAAAATAAATTTTTAAATAAAACATTTTATCTCATTACAAATAATTCTCGGAACATATTTTCAAAAGACTCTAAAGTGTAATATAAAAGAAATAAAGTATTTTTTTTTTTCTAATAAAATGTACAAAATTTTCATATAGGTATATTGTTCTCGGTATTAGTATTTCATTCAGTAAAAACGTATTGTTTCTCTAAATTGATCAAGAGGTACTGAAAGGATTAAACAATTCTAAATGACTAATCGATTTTTTTTTTACACAATGTGATTGACGTTATTGCGGGCGACAAACGCCATCCAGAAGTGCAATATCAAACCATCGTTTCCCGAAAGATCTTCACCGACGAGTCCGCATGCTTAGTATGCACGTATCTCGTTATCGTCCTGACCGAGTTGTTGTTATTGTTGTTAACGCCGTTGAGTAGTTCGCCACTTCTCAGCCCGGACTTCGCCTCCGTTTGCATTTCCCTCGCCGTTTCTGCAGCCAGGAACGACAATATTCTTCTAAGCGACAACTGTTATCATGCATTGTCGTGAAAAAAGAAACTCAAATGACGTCAAAATCTGAAGTTTTATAATGTTACTTGAATCAATTTCGCGGATGACTTGAACCGAAATAATTTCTACGTTTTTTTAATTAAAAAGAGCTCCTTAATTGTATATTTATATTAAAAAAAGCTTTTATAATTTTTTTTATCGTCGAAGGAGACAATAAAATTATTTCAGAGTTGAATCTCATTTAATATTTCAATACCAGAAAGATAATCCTTATTGTTGTTTCGCGCAAGGAAATAATACACGAAACGATAAGAAAAATTACTAAAACTACACAGATACATCTCTTTCAATGTGCAACAAACAATTATGGTTAGACATCAAGTGTGCGAATAATAGTCAGGTATGCGAGAAACCTGCATTAATGGCGCGTATGTTCATATTTCTATATACTACGTGAGCTCCTCGTATACTGAATGTGTTAGAATATTTGGTTAATAACACTACATTCGAGACGCAGTAACGCAGATCGCAGAAATAAGCATTCTATTGTGTATATAGTGGTATGTACGA